AGATAGGTGATTTTCACCCCCCAAAACCCCCCACCAAGAAGGAGGTCTAGAAAATTCTGGGAGTTGAAGTCCACACATCTTAAAGTTGTCGAGGTTGAGAAACACTGCGCTAGTGGTTAGCCCTTATATTTGCTTAATGAGAAAAGAGTAGGGCTCCTTATTGCCCTTTGCACTCTTGCAGGAACCGTAGGAAGTCGGGCTGCCCTCTGAGGCATCGCCTGCAATTGCTCTGAAGACCTGCCCGAACCTAAAGCCCAGGAGCGTGAACAATCCCGGCGCCTGTGTTTTTTTGTGGAAGCCGTCCGAGTTCCTCATTACGCGGGCCTCGCGTTCCTCCTTTCGCTCTTTTGAGAGCGCGGCGGAGGAGGCGGCTTTCTCTTCCCCCTCAGCCCGCGGGGGTAAGCGAGACCTGCATCAGAAGAGGAAATGGAAATAGTCTGCGAGAAGGCAGCGGACGCCCCGGCACCCCCACCCACCGGCTTCCTTGGCTGGGCCGGGGGCGGAGCAAGCGCGGCGTTGAGGGCGATGGAGGGCGAGATTAGCTTCGCGCGGCGCTGCCCGGGAAGAGCTGCGGCCAGTGGCGGGAGTCTTTCTTTCGGAGCCTCGCGCGGCGGTGCTGGGAAACATTCGGGATGGGGAGCGCTGGCGGCTGATGGTGGTAAGCGAGCTAAGGGGAAGAGGCTCCTCCTCGCTTCGAGAAGAAATTGCTTGGGGTTTTCTGCGCGCTCTGAGAGGGAACGACCTCCCTGTTCTTGGTCCCCCCGCCCCCCGTGGAACTTCCCAAGCAATTGCGAACTTCCCTTGGGCGAATCTTCTCCGATGAAAATTAGCTTCCGATTGGCGGCTTAGATGAAGTGGAAAGGGGGTGTTTGGAGTTATTTAGCGTAAGTGGGAGCGAGAGAGCAAATTAAACAAGCGGCTATCTGGTCCCAGAAACCTCTGTGAATTTCCAGCATTGTCACACACAGAATGGGGTGATGACAAGGAGGGGTTCATTGTGGAACTCCCCCCCCCCCCCCCCCCCCGTACGATATGTTCGATCTCCAGTCGGGACGTTGATTTTTCTAGGTGGAAGGCATTTATAGCAATTAGCACGAACCTTTGGAGCCAGATGAACTGAGGGATGTGGTGCGACCTCAGGACGTTCGTAGGTGCTGTTTCGAATCTACAGGCAATAGGGAAGATCACACTGCCCAGTTCCCTACAGAAGAGAGTAAATCTGCAACTATCACATCTGCCAACAATCTGTCTTGCCTGTCTACTAGGAGAGATCTACAGTCAGTCTGATTTGACCTTTTCCTTTTTTTCTTTCATTAGAATTGTAAGTTAGTGTAGTACCATGCGACCTTAGGCACTTCACACGTATGAATCCATCCTATCAACCAGTTTCTCCAAATCCGGATCCAGATTATGCTCCCACCCTATGATATTCAGGAAGCTATTGAAGACCTGGCTGTTCTTCCAGGCTATGGGTCAGGTGGATGGCTGAGCCCCTTTTGAATGGGGGTGTTGTTTCTTTGCTTATATGTCTTTGGGCTGGGTATGAAGTCTTTTATGGTATTGTTCTTACTTTTGTGGTATTGTTCTTTACTTTTGTGGTATTGTTCTTACTTTTTCACTGTAAGTTGCCCTGAGTCATTAAAAGTTGGGCGGCCTCTAAATTGATTAAACAAATAAAATATTTTGTCTGCATACCTGTGCCATTGCAAAACTCTATGAAGGGTTTCACACAAAATGCTAAATTATAAACCAGAGTTTAAAAATGTCTGGACTCATATAATATGATGAAAAAACTACAGCTTAACTTCGTATTATGTGAATCAGGCATCATGAGATAATATGGTGTGTGAACATAACCACTGTCAGAGAAATGTCCTGGGGAAGCTCCATGTATCTGCTCCATGTGTAACTGTATTGTGTGAACCCACAGCTGCTTTAATCATATTTTGCTGAATAATCCACAGTGTGCTGAGTTCATACTTCACACGGTTTGCTTGGATTTGACTTCACTGGGTTCACAAACTATGCTGTTAGGATTTGTAAGCCAATCTGATTTGAATTATTCAAACTACAGTGGACTGGGTAAAATGTTGAGCCCACTGATGGTTGATTATTAAAGTCAGCCAGAATGTGTGAATTCCTATTCTTATTTATTCTATTGGCTAAATGAGATTTTCCCCCTTCATCCATTGCTATGGCATATATTTAAAGCAATATGGTTATTCAGTCCTTGTAGCATATTGCCAACAATGAGTGACACAACAGTTTCCCAACCCTCACTCTATTCTTCAAGTTTGGAAATGTTTTATTTTCTGCTCTGTTATTTTAATTACTTAAGATGGAATAATTTTCTTTTAATGTTACAGGGGCTGAGCATTAATCCAAGGTGCTCCTCCATCATGTCACTAATTAAGTCAGCACCATGAGAAGAAGATGGGGTGTTGCAGGGCTGTTGCTTCTGCTACTTCTAGCCTTCAAGATCTCTGGGCTGAAAAAAGGTAAAGGAGAAATATTATCACTTCCTTTCAATAGGTCTGTTTCTAAAACACCTCAGCTGAGCCAATATGCTTGGCTGTAAACCCCAGTTAATGAATATGCGTGCTGAACCATTTTTAACTTCTGTGTGCTATTCTTTAACTGAGGGTTTAAGCCATATCCCAAATAGCTGCCATCTTGGATCTCTTTAACTCAGGTACCGTGCCTCAGATTTGTTGTAAGTTGTGGCTCCAGTTTAAAGAGATCCAAGATGGCAGCCGTTTAGAGCTCCAATGGTAAGAGACGCCTAAAACCTTCAGTAAAAAACAGGGTGTGGGGGTTAAAAATAGTGGTGTGTATGCATTCCCTGGGTTTGTACTTGGATATGTAGTGTGAGTATGGCTGTTATCTTGCATCTACATGTATCTGCAGCAACACTGGGACTAGTTTTCTATAGCGCTGTCCTCTTAGTTGCAGTAGCTGAGTGAATCTTTTCTACTGGAGTCTATTTTTTGACTGGCTTTGTTGGCCAAACTCAAAATGTGGAAGTCACCAGCCTCTTACACATTATGCCAGCAAGATGAGCATGGTGGCTTTGGTGCCACAGTGCCTCCCAGCTCTCTTTTCCGCTGTCCTCTCCTCAGAAATAAGTTGAGTGCTGATGTCTGAATCCACCTTTGCAGCTTCAAAGCTGGAGGAAAAGCTACTTACTCATAACAGGGCAGCATGTAATTTGCTCTGGTACATAACAGCCTTTTCCTCACATGTTCAATATCTCAAAATTATTGCATATGCACACACATTACAGTCCCATGAGATGGCACCACCAAGTAAGCAGCTGCATTGCTGAGTTAAAACAATAAATTTCCTCAGTATCTTTGAGTTGATATATTTTGGACGAAAATATCAAAGGTATGGCAAAGTCGCTCTCTCTCAGCCCACCCTGCCTCACAGGATCACTGTGAGGAAAAAATAGGAGGAGGGAGCACTTTGTATGCCACCTTGAAGTCCTAAATGAAAGGTGAGATATAAACCTAATAAATAAATAAATGGCCATCAACTTGGATAATGGATCAGGCCTGAATTCTGCTTCCAGTATAAGAAATTCCTGCTAGAATACAGTAAATAGGCAGAATCATGTCCCTGCTGGCCCAGTGTGCTTCTGCTTGGTTGATAAGAGGTCATGGAGTCACAAATATTGGGTTGTGTGTGTGGCAGTGAAGGATTTGATACCAACTGATTGAACTGTGGTAGGATTATAGACTTGTTTAGACACACAACTATGTCTCTGTTGCTCTAAAGCAGCGTTGTCCAAACTTGGCCACTTTAAGAGGAGTGGACGTCACCTCCCATGCTGGCGGGGGATTTCTGGGAGTTGAAGTCCACGCATCTTAAAGTGGCCAAGTTTGGACAACGCTGCTCTAAAGGAAGCAAATTATATGAGGATGGACAAGGGTTATTTGGAAAGCAGCATTAGGGGAGTTTGTGAACAGGAATTCTAGCTGTTTTGTTATTTCATTCAGTGTAGGTGCCACCCGACGCCAAATAGACCTAGGCAGCTCACAATATAATACGGAATAAAAAAGTGATTCAAAACAAGACAAGATGGGATCTAGTTGCTTGATACAAAAACAAAACATATCCAAGAAGGGCCTCCATGCTTCCTAACCCAACCCTCCTCACCCCTGACAATCAGCCGTGCTGTCAGAGGCTGATGAAAGTTGTAACTTAAAACTTCTGGAAGATACCAAATAGGGTTAAAGTGACCTAAAAAGAGAAAGGGTTGTGCCTTCTATAGGAAGGAAGGTGATTAAGAACGGTTGGGTGATTGGGACTGCAAGGAAGAAAAAGGGTGTATTTTGCATGATCAAGCCTAGGCTATGAACACCTCCTATGTCTTTCTAAAAGCTGCATATTAACTGTTGTGGTCTTTATCTTGGCTTGTAACATTTTCATTTAATTGAAAGTGTTTCAAGCTTAATAGAATTGAATCCAAGAGATTGACTGGGTTCAAATGTTAAGTCATAACCTGTTAGCACTGGTTCTGAATAAATTATAATTGACTGGGTTTGCACAATACACCAATCCGTAAACTCTGATTTACAGACAAAAGTAGAGTTTGTACAACACTAAATCAAAACCAGAAAATGGCTTTCTGCATATATACAATCAAGGAGGTGGCTCCAACCACTTTTAATGATTGCTTGTTAGATCAGTGATAAAGAAGGCCTTCCTAAATCCAGATGATGTTTCCATTATGATGATCTCATCTTTGGGGAAAAGGTTTGAGAGATATTTCTAGATTCCATTGGTTATTTATATTCATTCAATCCAACACTGAGCCACAGGTAACAATACTGCTTTGGTCATCCAGGTTTAGAAGAAGATGCTTGATTATATTAATGCTACTTCACTAGTGCAAATGATAGGACCACTGCACATACATTCTTTTCTTATCATTAGTGAAATATTAGGAAGCTATGCTGGATAGAAAAAGGCAGTAATAAGGATAGAGTGTACATTGACCCTTCAGATTCTCTGTTGTCCTCAAGTGCAGAGGAGGATTTTTCCTGATAGATCTATTGAAGCAAGATTCAGTTGCTTCTTCAGTCATTATTTATACGTAGAATTGGAGAGAACATAGATCCTGTCTGTTCCCCCAAGAGCAATCTATTTTGAGCTAGTTAAAACATAGTAACTAAGCTTTAATAAATTACAGCTAGGCTTGCATAGCACATACTCTACAAAGAAGCCACACTATGGCTTAGTGGGATATGTGAACGCAGCTAGAATGTGCATTCAATTACTTATGACTAGGGATCTTGAGGGATCTGTGGATGTATAACTTCAGATCTCTATTTGCTAAGGAGAGGCAGGCAGGTCAGACAAGCTTGCATAACTTCAAGAAGTAGGAAGGAGAAAGACTGTCAAATGTGTGAAGACCTGCACTTGACGGTGGCTGCTGCAGTCATCTTCTTGCCTCCCGCTCTTTAAAACCCACACAGGAAATCTGTCAAGAGCCTGAAACAGGCCTCCAGATTAGAAGAAATGAAGCAGGTGACACATTTTCAGCACATTAACCCTGATCTTTCTTTCTCATTGAGTGACAGCAAAACTATATTTGGGGTTTATGTTTGGAATGGGTGGGAAAGATAACCTGGAGAATAAAGAATTAAATCTTACGGAGAGTTGAAAGTATGGGAAAGGAAATTTGGTCCATTGATAACTGGAAAAAGGTAGAGGAGGCAGGGATTGGCAAACTATATGTTCTAACTGTATTTACCCCAGACTTCAGTTTGCTCTGAATTTGTTTTAAATGTTCCTCAAATAAACACAATATTATTAATTCTCAATAATACTGTGAAAAGGATTGAACATTAATGGGCAACCTTGACCTCCAGAGGCCTCTTCCTCCTGACTACTAAAAATTGGTAGCAGAGTTTCATAATATTTTCAGGTGGAGAACATATTTATATTACATTTACGGTAGTGCAAACACTAAATAGGATTAATGCTGTTCTTAAAAAGGAAGGAACGCAAATTCTGGTCCCATCCTTCTGTGTGCTGCGCTGCAGCAATTCCCCTCCTGATATTAAATGTAGCCTATAACCTTGAACATTTATGCATTAATACTTTCCCTAACCTGATGGTAGTTTATAATTTTGCATATGTCATCATTTTGAAGAAGAGTTTCTTTTGCTCTTTGTAATCACAGTCAACCCCATTTGCAGTTCTTTTTCTTGACACTGTTGGATCCATTTTGAATGGCCATAATCATAATCCTAGTACTTGGATGACAAAGAAATAAATAACACGTATAAACATTAAATAAGTTTAAAATGAATGTTTCTATATAACAAAACAGATAAAAGGTAACAGGGACTCCCAGCAATTTTTAGCCATTTAATTACTGTTGCTCATTCCAGGATCTCATCAGATTCAAATACAATTCAGTTGTATTTAGAACATTCATTCCATGTAGGTTCGTTATCTTTGGCTGACTCTTAAGATGTATGCAGCACAGGCCTGTCCACACTTGCTACAGCACTAGTAACTTATCATCAGGTGAGAACAGGCCTTAATTCAATCAGGTCTTCAGCATTCTCAGCTCTGTGGCACAATTTCTCTTTCCTGGGGCAGCCAAAAAGTGCTAGCTTGTTCTAACAGCAGCTGTGCTCAGCCACTGAATATTCTCAAAGAAGAAGAGGAGTGGTAATTGTTCCTCCCAGGTTTTTCATTATAGGGATGCTGAATTTTTTTTTCTTGTGGCTCTGATTATAAATGGTGCTGAATTGTTTTATTTGCTGCTGTTGGAGTGTCTCGGTTAGGGTTAGGAGATTCCTGGAGACATCCCTCTGCTGGCCTTCAGTTGCTAAGGTGGACTTAAGCAGCTGGTTGGTATAATGAGTTTGAGGGCAGCTATTGAAGCAGGGGCAGGTCAGGATATCCAGACTGAGCTCCACTCTGCTTCCAACCTATTGCATGCTCCTCTGGGATCTCTTCTCCCAAGTCATGCCATTATTAGGTTAGGACGACTTTTGCTAGCCTACCTTCTAGCTATATTAGGATTGCAGCACGCTCTCTGGGAACTCTTGGAGTTGCAGTCCCAACACATTCTGAGAAAAAGTTAGGGAAAGGTTGGTTAGGAGGATCCATGAAATTATCTGGTTTTGATATCCTGGGCAGTAACCATATTCACACGATGCAATATGCTCATCTCAGTTAACTCGAATCAAGGTTTTCCCATGGTGCTAGGCAGCATGTTCCCATATTTCTCTGTTGGATATTCATTTGTTCAGATTAATAGCTGTCCTCTGATTTTGGTATGCAGTTTGAACTCCCCAAAGACTGCTTTTATACCTCCCTTTCCATTGCCAGTCAGTTGTGTGGGAAGCAGGCCATGTACGTGAATAAAACTACACACAATTTTGACTTTTGTTCCTTCAGATTGTGTTCCTGCAGTGGGATAAAATTCAGCCAGTTTGGTGCAGTGGTGAAGGCACCAGGCTAGAAACCAGGAGACTGTGAGTTCTAGTCCCATCTTAGGCACGAAGCCAGCTGGGTGACCTTGGGCCAGTCCCTCTCTCTCAGCCCTGGGAACCAGGCAAAGGCAAGCCACTTCCAAAAAACCTTGTCAAGAAGACTGCAGGGACTAGTCCAGGAAGTTGCCAGGAGACAAAAAATTGACTTGAAGGCATACACACACACACACACACAAAAGGTGTGGTAATGGGAGGGGCAGGGTTGGAGATTCACTCAGTTGAGGCACCTACAGAAGACCATCTGGTAGCCTCTGAGGATTTCATGTGGGCTGCAAGTTATTGGCATGTGACCTAATGAACTAGCAAGAAATAACCTTTCTGTGCTGTGTATTGCCCTGCCATCAGAACAAATCTAACTGAGTAATCACCATCTCTTGGTTTTGGCTGTCTGCTTTTATAATTTGGGACTGACAATCTGGGCATATCTTGCAAAATTGTTATAGTGAAAAAAAGTCATATAAAAGCTCATAACTTCCAGGCAGCTATAATCCCTTCCCATCAAATGTGTCTTCAGCTGCTCTAATTTGGAATGCTGATTTGTGATTCTGTTCTCTTTGCAGGTGATCCAGATGCCACTATGGGCCTGCGGTGTTTCCAACCATTTCTCAGCCACATTGTGAACTGCAGCTGGGAATCTCAAAATTCTAATGCCACCTATGTCCTTCACTACCAGAGCCTAAAACTGGGCAAAGTGCTGCTGTTAGTGAACCCATATACTGATTTATAATATAAACATCCAAATTAATCAATAAGTCATTGTCTTTTTCAGTTAGGACCCCCTGTGTTGGCTGGTCTAACCTATTGGCTTAATGACTTCATTTAGGAAGTGCATGGAATTGCAGAGAGGAAAGAGATAACTTATTAGGATTTTACAGCTTCATGAATGAAGGTTTTGGCCTTGATGGACCAATACTGAAGTGGTGTGGAATATTAAGGAAAATAGTGAGAGAGTTATCTTTGTCAGTTGATCTGAGTGGATTGGAAGCTCTGTCACAGTTTTTCAGAAATGAGCATAGGGACTACCATCACAAACAGCAAGTGTGAGGAGTCTTTTCATTAAAGCCAAGACCCACTGGAGAATGTGAGAGCCTTGAATACAGAATTTAAATTTTTTGTAAATGTTTAGTGCATGAGAAAGAGGAATAATTTCTAAATTATGATTGTGCTTTGAAGGCTTAAAAAAGATTGTTTTAAACATTTCAGCTGGCTTCGGATTTTCCTTCCTCCTTAACAGTTAAAAGTTCAAAATTACACTTCTGTAATTGCTGCCACCAGGCAAAATCTGCAGTTTTGCAAAGGTTAAAAGGCAGTGAAGATTGGAAGTCAAAAAGGCTAATTAGAAAAGGGCTTGCAAGGGATCAGACAAATAGTTCTGCTGGGAACATATTTGGTATTCATTGTCACAATAAAATGCTTCTGTGCCTTTTCTTTTATTTGCAAATCTTGAAAGTTTCCTGCTTGGGCAGAATGGCTGGATGGATAGGAATTAGCAAATGTTTAGTTTTCATTTGTATAAACTATTGTGAGATGTATATGTGTCTCCTTATTTTTCTGAAGAAATCTTGCCAAAGCACGCTCAGTGGTAGCTCGGACGGGACAGAACTGGTTGGTTATCAAACAAAGGAACCTGACACACGGAGACACGTACGGTGTCTGGATGGAAGTTCGCAGCGCAGCAGGGGCTGTTACCTCCAAGAAATTAAACTTCAGCCTGGATGAAATAGGTTAGAGAAACTAAGTCAGAGAGCCAGAATGCTTTGGGAATAGATCTGGACAACCACTTTTTGCTCCCAAAAAGCACCTTGCCTTTCTTGCCTTTCTCCCCTTTGACATTTGTGCAGGCCCAGTGTTGCTCCCCTTTGGCTATTGTCACACTCCTTGTGTGTACTGACTCTGACACTCATGCTCATCTCTCCAGTCCCCTCATGTCAGCCAGCTGGGTCTATAGGCTAACATTTTTAATTTTCTACCTCCTGAGGAATTGCATGGGGCGTTTCAGATAGCAAACCTCTCTATGATTATGTAAGCTCAAAACTAAGGTCCAAGCACCATAAGGGGGATCTTGATTTGCAGTAAGACTGATACCTTAGTCTAAAGTTACCTTGACTAAGTTCACACATTTTGAAAAGCTATGACATGCTTGATTTGCTTATGACTTAGAGTAATGTGAAAACCCAGTCCGTTGTGGCCTGTTCAATAAACCATTGACTCCTTGGCTGACATGATGGAGGAGCCAAGCCAAGTCTTTTTCGTGCATTGTGCTAAGCTAAGATGTTCTAACCAAGGTTTGTTGGGTATGCCAAAACAGCCCTACACACATCATTAATCCATTGCCCATGGTTTCACACATTGTGCCTGATCAAAAATAAACCAGTCATATTTTGGCTTAGTGCAACGTGTGTGTAGGTCAATGCTTTTATTGCTAGGTGTGGGAGTCAGGAGTAAAGCTGAGTGATAAGGCACATGATTTCTGCTCTCTGATAATCTCTTCCCTCATCTTTCAGTGAAGCCCCCTCCTCCTGAACTGGACCATGTGGATCTGGATTGCTTTGAAGCCACGGTGAGATGGAAGAACCCTGACTGGCCTGAATGGCATAGTGACCAACCTTTCACTTATGCTATTCGATACAAGACATCCACAGACCATGAGTGGACCTACGTGAGTCTGTCTTGCATTTGCGACCCATTTTGTGTATCTATTGCTTTTCTTTCCCATCATATCAATTGTGACTCTCTGTTGAATACCTATTCCATTGAACTACAGCTGGCTTCGTCTAGGATTTCCATCTTAACCAACTGAAGACAGTGTCCAGGAGGTCAGCTGCAAATCCTTGCTCTAGTTGTTATATGTTACTCTATGTCCCAGTGCTAAATATGACATGCATCTGTACCTAGTATGTTCTCCTGTTCTTGCTATGTTATACTAGACTTGCTGCAATTCTGATGGAAATTTAGATGGAGGGTTCTTTTTAATTTTGGTTTTGACTTGGATCACTTTGAATGACCTTGTAAAATGGATGGATAGAATGTTAATATAACAACAATAATATGAGTACATTCCATTCCCAGCTGCAGGAGAGCCATCTAGACCAAGAGCACCATGAATTAGTTGACTTGAAACCATTCACCTGTTATGAAGTGCAGGCACGGTGCATCCCAGAAAACAAAAAAGGCTTCTGGAGTGAATGGAGTTCTTCCAAAACCTTCTGCACCCATGAGGCTGGTAGGTACAGTTGTGGATGAAGCAGAAATCCATGCAATTCAAGTGGATGCAGTGGCATCACAGTAGAAATCTGGCTGGTGTACACTTTTTCAAACACTCTGTTGCATTCACACAATGCATTTTGAGACAAATAGCTAACTAAATCTGGGGGCAAGTGTTATCAAGTGTGTTAGCATTCACTGAATGGCTGGGAGGAATCCATTTTAGATTTCCAATTTTCTGTTGGGTCTACTGAGTTGCTATTCATTGCCTTAGAGAGTAAGATCTGGGTCCTTAAAAATCGGAATTTTTTTTTTTATCTTTTAAGGACTTTTTTTTTTTATTTGTATCCTTACAGATTATGCACAGTGTTCCTTTTTCAGTTGTTTCTTACCTGTATTCTTTTGGGGGAGGATCTGTAAGTGTCTGGCTGCCCTGTTTGTTTTCACTAACCACTTGGCTCCTTTCTGATTCCCTTAGCTCCTTTGGGTCAAGTTGATGTGTGGCAAAAAGAGTGTAATTCTGACCATCAGAATCGAAGTTGCTTCTTGCTATGGAAGGTGAGCTGGATCCTGTTTCTTATCATACAGCATTCCTCTCTGTGGGTTAAAGGGCAGGTCAGTTTCTTTAGGGCCAGATCAGAATTTGGGTAGAAGAATTTTGAGACAAACTATGAATGATCCAGAGGGATGAAAATACAATAATTTAAAGAAACAAAATCTCTAAGAGAATTACATCAGTGACTGGACTAAAACCATACTTGCTAAGGAACAGAGATAAACCAACAACTTTTCTCATTTTGACTGGCTTTAATCATTATGCTAAATTGTAATGTGGTTTGGCTGGTTTGGTTTAGAATGTTGCATAAAGCCAGCTATTAAGGTATATTCAGTAATCCATTGTTAAACAAACATTTCTCAGAAATCTTGGCCAAAAAAAGGTTTGTCAGGTTGTCATCAGATATCCTTGAACTCAACATTGGAAAGCTTGCTGGGGAGCTAAAACCAGAAATTGATTATAACTGGATAGGCAATCTGTGGACCCAGGGGCATGTGTGACCCTTCAGGAATAATAGTTTCTGCACTCCTCTTTCCTGAGGAATAACAGATTCCTATCATTTTAAGATGGAACAGAAAGTGTGGGGGGGGGAGGGAGGGAGGGAGGGAGAGAAAGAACTTCCTCAATTCCTTCCAAAACCTCCTCTCACTCATGTGTAAAGTGTGCCTCCATCTACTTAACAGCCCTCAGCACACTTTCCCAAATATTGTTACTCTAAGCTATCAAAAGATTGCCTAGCACTTCCCTCCCCTGCCCCCCTTCTTTCATGGGAGATACTAAGGATTGAACTACCCTGTCTTTAGGAAATTAATTGTAGATGGCCAAGTTGACTCCTCTGTGAAGATGCCAGTTATAGTAAGGGGTATTCTTGGGCCTACATGCTAGTCTCTAGCTACAGTCAGAGGTGAAATGTTCCAGATGTACAGTGGAACCTCGAGTTACGAATTTAATCCGTTCCGTGACTCTGGTTGCAACTCGAATTGGTCGCAACACGAGGC